GATCCACATATTGTCTTAACGCTTGGAGCGTTGGGCCGAACACTTTGCAAAGCAGTTTAACCAATCTGAGTTATCGCTTTCTCTTTTGGACATTGAGTGCCCTTCTCCATGGGTCGTCTTCTTAGATCCACCCTCACGCGCAGAACTTGAACGTTGCAATTGCGTAAGATCTCTGGTGCAGATAGAATTCTCAGCTCTCTACAAATTTGGGGGACCTGCTTTTGTAGATTGTTTACACTTCCTGCTACAACTTTGGGAGCAGGAGACCGGCCCGACAGACTGGAGCCACTTAGTCATAGTCCCAATTTTCAAGGTAGGCTCCCGTTTGGAATGTGGCAACCATAGAGGGATCAGTCTGATCACAAATGTCTCTAAATTCCTTGCCTCTGTCGTTCTCCGCAGACTGACTGGCGCTCGTGAAGGCCAGATCCGCAAAGAGCAAACAGGATTTCGTCGAACTCGTGGCTGCATCCACCATATCTTCACTTTGCGTCAATTGTTGGAGCACCGCCATATTTATTGGCGACCCACGGAGTCGTGTTTCTTGACAGAATAGGTGCCTTCGATCCGGTGGATCGATTTGCACTTTGAGACTGTCTGCTGAGAAAAGGTGTGCCCGATAAATATGTAAACGTTATCAAAGCGCTGTACGCGCATAGTTCAGGCAGAGTGAGGGTTTATGCCAAACTGTCATTGCCCTTCAATATCTCCAGCGGTGTGAGACAAGGTTGCCCGCTGTCACCTTTCCTCTTCGCTTCTGATGCAGTCATGGAAATGGCATTCGTTGGACACGACCTAGGTGTGGAGCTGCTTCCTGGTGAGCGACTTCCTGACTTGGATTATGCGGACGACATTGCCCTCATATGTAACGACGCCCAAACGTGCCAGGCTGCACTGGACCGATTAGCATTGGCTGCCAATCGTTTTGGACTTTTCTCCATTCAAATGCAAATTTCTCCAAGATTGGCAGGCACCCACCCTTGCGCTAACCCTTGGTGGTAATCAGCTAGAAGTCGTTCAGGAATGCAAGTAACTGGGCAGCTATATTAACGCCCGTGGGATCGCAGATGAGGTTACGAACCGTATAGCAAAAGTTCGAGGCGCTGTTGCCAATCTCCGACACCTGTGTCGCAGACGCGACATCACTCTCGCCCTGAAGGGCAGAGTTTATACTACAGCCGTCCGTTCAACTCGGCTATACGGTTGTGAAACCTGGCCCATCCGGTCGACGAACATAAAGTGGCTAGCCTCGTTCGATCATCCCTGCCCCCGCAGCTTAGCTCATGTCTGATGGGAGCATCGCATGAGCAATGAGCGTGTTCGGTGTCGCGTATTTGGTGCAGGGAAGAGCTGGTGACCCGCTTAACACCGTTATATCACGCACCAAGCTCCGATGGCTGGGCCACGTTGTGCATGTCAGCTCATCGACTCCCGCGACGTGCATTGTTTGCGCCCCAGGAGTGCGGTTGGAAGCGGAGGAGGATAGGCCATGCGATGACTTGATCGAGAGTAATGAAACCCCTCACCTCGAAGTTGGCGTCAGTTGTTGCATCCCGACTGCCTGGCTGGGGTCCTAAAGACGATGAACACGTTTGGTTGGATATACTTGCTGGTATGGCGAAGAGCCGGCCCCAATGGCGTTTGTGTTATGAATCCCTTTGTCCATGCCACTCCTGCTTAGCATCCCATCTTATCACGATCTCATTTCTTAATCATCATACAACTCTTTTTGCGGCACGATAGCCGGCTTTTATCTCTCCGGAACGATGTCCATCCGTTAATGGGGACTCAGCCGGCATGTCTCTGTTTTTTCTTCTTGTCTTTTGTATCGGGGCACAATAGCTTAGATGTTTTCCACGTGCAGCTAAGGTGTACAATGAAATGAGAAGGCCTTGCCAACATCAGAACTGCAATCGGTGGGGGCACAAGCGGCAACCAACAAGCAGCTTCTTTTACTACTTTTCGAATCAATTTTAATTGATGTCGTCATGCGGGCTGCACGCACACGACTGCTGCATGAAATCTAATCAACCAGCGATGACGCGGCCTTAAAGCTGAGAACAATGCCCACTCCAGCTTGACCAGTAGTTGCCGCGTCAGCGTCTCCGGATGCGTGCAACCAGTAGCGAGAGGACAGTACTAGTATAATTAGTCTCAGCAGTCTATTAATTGGACATAGAGCTAACCAAAACCATGTTGATAATCCTCGTGGTACCTTAGTTGAAGGTAAGCGACACACTTCAGCTACTGTGCCGCAGGGAGAAAGGGACAATATATACTTCTATTGGGCATTAAGCTTTCATATCTAAGCGAGTACCTACACAGATTAAAGAAACGTACAGATTGACAACAAAACGAAGCATTTATTTATCACACGCAGATTTTTCTCTTTTTTGTCATTCTTCCTGTTTGAGCTTCTAAACATGTGAATTAGTACAATTTCGTACACAATTCTTCCACTGATTCCGGTTACGGGCCATGTCTCCCAGCTTGATAAGCCATTGCCACTACTCATCATTTGGTCCACATCTTGGAAGACGTACAGGTCCAACGACGTCTAGATGCGACGTCAGCGATTTCATGTGCTGCCGCTAAGTGGAAGGCTGACCACCACGTAGTCGCCTCCAGCCAGGTCCTTGACGTGCGAATGGAGCACAGCGCAGTAGACGCTCAGGCACCATGCTTAGGAGGTAACCTAGCCATCTCAACTGGCGCAACAAAATCAGTTTGTTGAAGGGAATACTTGCATTCTCCAAGACGCGACGTCGAACGTCATCACTGTGAACTCTATGCTACCACTATACACGAGCGATTCTCTTTAAGTAACCGTTGTCTAAGGCATAAAGACGACACATGTCTTCCACACGAATTGGCCAGGACTCGCTTCCATACTACAATGCTGAGCGAACAAATTCACTGTAAACACGGCTCGTTAGCTAGAATGTGACGACGCGACGATGCCGCAAGTGTCTCGGATTGATAAATGCTGATTGGGCTTTAGCGAGGCGAAGAGCAATTTCCTTGCTGTTAGTGCCTCCAGCAGAAACACAGCTTTCAAGCTAGATGAAACTATCCACCTGTTCAAGTTGTGCACCCTCAAGAATAAGCACAGGATCAGAGGTGTGAGCCAATCATGGAACAACACTTTACACTTCGATGGGGCGAAGACCATACGTACTTAGATGCCTCAACCGCTACACGATGCTAAATGAGTTGCATGTGTTGCAAGTAAGGCAATATCATCCGCATAATCTTAGTCGATCGCGCGCTCTCCTGGCCGAAGCTCTACGTCGAAATTTTGGAAACCTAGTGCTTTCGACAGGAGGCCCTCGATTGTGAAGCTGTAGATGAATGACGACATAGGGCAGCCCTGTCGATGGGAGTTTGCCGTTAACCCTCACTCTACCAGAGGTATGTAGGTAAAGTGCAGTTAAGATGGTATACTTCTCTGGCACCACATTTTTCAGCAATAATTGCCATAAGGCAGGTCGATCAACCCAGTCAAATGCATTCCGTATGTCTAGGAATACGCCTATAGTTAGTCGGTGGTGAATGTGACGATGTTCGAAGAGTTGTTGGAGCGTGAAGATTTGATCCACGTATCCACGGCCGAGACGGAAACCAGCTTGTTCTTCACGTATTGGTGGTAGTCTGCGAAGCAGAATGGAGGCCAAAAGCTTGTAGGCAACCGAAATTTGACTAAGTCCGCGATTATCGACACTTGAGGTGCGTGCGCCTTAAAAATCGGGACAGTAATTGATTCGCCCTAACGTGAAGGCACTTTCTCTTCATGCCCGATTTTCGCGAACAGAGAGGTCAGCTGGTTAATGATCGCTATACCGCCGTTCCTAAACAGCTCCGGGGGAAGTCCGTCTGAGTCGGTAGTATTTAATCGCTTCAGACGTCGAATCGAGGTAAACTTCGCTAGCGAAAGGATAAACCAGATGTAGTTAATTCAACAACCTTATTAGGGCCATTGATCCTATTTTCGGACACACCACACATGTCAATACCCAGTGTGTCCAAGGTGCGTGCGAGTGCAGCCTTTTGACCTATTTGTCTTAGATTGCGAACCTTGAACGCCGCCAGGGAAACGATACAGCGTGGCCTTACCAGGGATTGTTACCGATAGGCGTGCAGTGGGTGGTGCAGGATGGTAGCTGCATTTGGTGTGACTCCATTGGCGTGGCAGGTGTTGTCACTTATGCTGAGCATTTCGGAGGGAAGGTTTGTAATCGAGTTTAGGATGGAACTTAAAAAAAGAAAGGAGGCGCCAGCAGTAGCATGTTTGGCCTATCCGCCATACTGTATGCAGCAGTTAAGGTGGCCCTTTATAAGCCGTACAACGGCCGATGCAAGATGTGGTTGAAGTTTGAAGAAATACTCATGGGTGTTTGTGGGCTGAGATACTGCCAGTGCGCCCAGACATAGACAGGAGGACGATTAGGGCTTTCACCCAAGTTATTTAGCTCAAAAGCCTGTACGCAAGACAGCAGAGATATGGGAGTGATTTAGTTTTACAGAAATGGACGCCATCGCATTTCAAACTCCCAACCTGGAGGGCTAGGCGACTGTTTATGTGATCAACCTGGTAGGAGTAACTCTCAAAGGGCCCGGGTGCACCACCCAGTATGGCTCAATGGGTCGTAGAGGTACGCAAACCGTCACACCACCTTAAGATCCAGTCTCATTGGACGATATATAGGAATCATTGTGTCATGTTGCTTTTCAACTCTAGTATTGTGCTTTGCAATCTTGTAGTTGTAGTTTTTGCGTTTCTGTTGTCTTCACTTGCTGAAACGTGCCTGAATTGTTTTGTCACCTCGTAAGTTTACGGAGTTTGGTCAACCACATGATGCGTTTACCTGCTACCCGTCTGCTAAACTCGCACAGGCATCTAATAATCCGCATGCTAGCCTACGTTAGGGTCAGTTGTTAATCACCGCACGGTTCTTTTAATATTTACTATCGCGTGTGACCTATATTCTTATCTTTCTCAGGAATACCCCTGGATATTAAGTGCCTCGGATGATCAAACAATACGCATATGGAACTGGCAGTCTCGCACGATTGTCTCCGTCCTGACTGGTCATAGCCATTACGTAATGTGTGCTCAGTTTCATCCGAAGGATGATCTTGTTGTGTCAGCCTCGCTGGACCAAACTGTTCGTATATGGGACATGTCTGGGTTACGCAAGAAAAATGTCTCCCCTGCAGGAATTTCGGGAATTGAGGTTTGTATCTTTCATATTTTTTATTTTTTTTTCATACGCGTGACATATGCCCCTCCATGTAAATTTGGATCTTGAATATGCTATTTATTTTCACCTTTCTCCTAGGAGCATATGCGACAAATAACAGCATCGATCAGGACTGCAAACACGATGGCCGGGCCTGGGCACACTGAACTGTTCGGCTCCGGCGATGTCGTTGTGCGTCATGTTTTGGAGGGTCACGATCGTGGCGTCAATTGGGTAGCCTTTCACCCGTCGCTTCCCATTGTGGTGTCGGCAGCTGATGATCGATTATTAAAACTTTGGCGTATGACAGGTCAGTCGAGACTGATATTCTGCAAGCTCCATTGGTCTAGTGAATGGTCATCTACCTCTTATTTGCACTTCGTGCATTTAAACATTTGTTTTCAGTGTAGAGGTGGTTTTGTCTTCAGGCGGAAACTCTGCCTAGGCATTTGCTCAGGAATTGCTAAGTCTGAGTAATACTTTCGCTGCATTGCTTCAGTTTTGAGTCTTCTCCCATAAGCTACAGTCCAATGAAGAACCTCACCTTTTTGTTATAGATTATATTATCTCTGCATCATGGTGCATATCTATTAACATTTTTCCATGTTTCCGTGTCACTAAATTCTAGAGAGAATCAAACTCATTGACTTTGGACTAGTGGTGTAGACGATATGCCCATTCATCAAACACGTACAGCTGCCACTCTACGAGTTACATGTCGACAGCTAGATGCGCGAACCTAGATATAGATCTCCCATTAACTCCGCGACTATACGTTCTTCCAAACCACTGATGTGGCGTTGCGCGATACCGCAATCTGGGAGTACAGCGCGCAATTCCGACTAGGTCACAGCCAGTTTCTTCATGCCTCTCTGCCACACCATCGAATAACCACCTCTTTGTTTCGCTCAGCTAGGTGCACTGGCAGCATATTATGCACCCCGAGCAGAGCGATCAACCGTCAAACACCAGGACATACCCTGGCCAAATCACGCGGTTCACATTTGGTCGGCAATCTAGTTCATCAACAGGGTGTTTCTTTCCAAGCACATACTGGTGGACCTCGTCATTTATCACCGATTGTTCAAACCGTGAGTGTGCAATGCTCCACAGGATCTCGGCCGCCATGCACGACGCGTGAACCTCTGTTTGTGGTACTATCAATCGTCACCGCAACAGTCACTGAATACCTGAGAGGTCGGTGAAACTGTTGGAATCTAGACGAAACCTCCCGGCTGGCTCTGAGCGCAATGTGACCAGACGGACTAGTATTCACGACCTGATGGTGAGCCTACCTGCTGACAACGAAACCTGGTGGACCAGTTTTGCTCATGAAATGGATGATACAGGAGCAGTAGGCAATTACCGCAAGCTCTTCCACCTGGTCCGCACCAGTGGTCCCAGGAAACCGGGCGTCAGTGAGACAGAGACATCGCGGATGCACTGATACACAATAAGGAGCGCCGTGTAACTCGTTGGGCGGAACTTTCAAAATCAGTTCAGCTGGTCCCCTGCTCCCGGACCTCTTCCTACTCAGGTGATGCAGAACGAGCCATGCACGGTTAGTTTAGAGCCTCCGTCGGAGACCGAGGTCCGAAATGCAATCACAGCCTCCATCGTTTTCAGGCCGCTGGCCCGGAATCCCTCCCACCTGCACTATTTAAGGAAGGAGGTGACTTCCTATGCAATGCACTAACCTCCTCATTCTAACATATCTGCAGGGAAGTGTCCCGGCTAACTGATGTGAACCGATTATGGTGGCAATATACAAGAAGGGCAGTCGCACAGACTGTTCTAACCACGGGGTTATTACCTAACGCAAGTTGTGACAGAATTACTAACCTCGATTCTCGTTCGTCGCCTCACTATGAAACGGGAATCTCGGATAAGGGAAGAGCAAGCAGGTTTCCGCCCAGGACGTGGCTGTATAGACCATATATTCACTCTGCGGCAGGTGCTAGGGCAACGCTACGCATACCGCAGACCGACAACAGCTGTGCTCCTTGATTTCAAGATTGCGTTCGATTCAATCGATCGATCGATTCTGTTCGAAATACTTGCGCGGAAAGGTGTTCCCACGAACTATGTGAACATCCTACGTGCTCTATACTCGAACACTACAGGACGCGTCAGGGTCTACGGTGACCTATCGGATAGCTTTCCGAGCACAAGTGGCGTTCGTCAGGGTTGTCCGATTTCCCAATTTTTGTTCACTTTCCTCCGGGACTCGATCATGGAGTGTTCCCTTGCGGAATTTCACGATGTACGCATGGAGGTCCTTCCTGGTGAAAGTTAGTTGATTTTGATTATACGGACGCTATTGTCTTACTTTTTGGCGATGTTGGGGCGGCACCATCAACCCTGGATAGCTTGTCTAGGGTGGTCCCATTATTTGGTATTTGCTTCTTATCTTCAAAATGCAAGTGTTGCTGCAGGACCACCAGCCACTTGATGCACCCTTGACCCTTGATAACTAAGAACTCGAGCTGGTTGATCGCTTCACTTACCTTTGCAGCTGCATCAGCAACGATGGGTGCATTGCGAAAGCCAGAACTGTCTTGTTGAACCTGTGGCATCTTTGTAGACAGAAGGGAGTCTCCCTCCGTCTGAAAGGCCGTGTATACAAGATCACAGTGAGGACCACCCTGCTCTATAGTAGTGAAACCTGGCCACTGAATGTTTGCTTAGGGCATTAAGGTTTTTAGGTAAGTCCCCCTTCTCTCCCTCTTATTATTCTTTCTTCCTTAGGTCATCATGGTTGTATGGCAGTGAAGCATCAGTTTAAGTGGCTGTTGTACTGCTATTTTTGTTGTTGATTGATCTACTCTGAATATGGGATTGTTGGTTGATAACTGCCAGTCTGAGGGCACTTCTTCAGCTTCCCTAATAGTGTTAAACCGATAGTATAGACCAACGATAAATGGATCATCTTTATCTTTCTACAAGAATGGGGGCAGATCATCATGTCCGGGAGCCCAGTTTCGTTTCAGCAGAACAAGTTCATGCTAATTCTCTTCCCAATTGGGATGTATGATATTATTCTTCCACCAATGTCCGGGTGGTTTAACAAGTTATGTTGTCAAAGCAGTCCTGCTGCCAACCCGCTTCTTGAATTGCTCCAACCAAAAGTCTCCTGGATGCAGCCGAGAATGAATCAACTGTCCATCTCTCTCTGCTATTCTCTCATTGACTGAATGGTTTCTTGGACCCGTGTTCCGGTCGAGTTGATTCAATTATCGGCTGTTCCTATTCGGACTTGATTTCATGCAGCCAGTTCCCTTGAGAAATTTCACCAAAACAAGAACAGCCAGCATTTCGCGAGCTAGACCGAATTCAGTTTATTTCCTGTATTCTCCGTCAGTCGCTTACAGAGGTACAGTGGGAGGATTTAGTGAGTGCATGTGACTTTGAATCACTTAGGCAACCAATTTGAATCTGAGGCCGTCGAGGTCATCGCTTACAGTGGCTAATCCTTACCATCGCAAGGCTAAGCTGGTCACGAGGTCCACTTGCTTGCGCAGGTTAGGTTTCAGCTGCCGGATTGCGCAAGCCTCGGCAAACTGGAGCAGCATTGGACTGTTCTGCTTACAGACGATCTGGAACGAGTTGCGGGGGTATTGACACACATCGCAATCGAGTAGGTGTCGGGCAGTTGAGCTGGCGAGTAGCTTAGGGCCGCTTATCGCTAGGGCCCGCGTAACATGCTCCATTATCCTTTGTAGTTAACCTACTTTCAGTCTGACCAACGTATATGCTGCCGCACGTACAGTTATCTTGGTAAACGCAGGAGGCGGTGACTTGAGGGAGAGGTTTATTTAGGTTGGATTGATGCAGCAACTTTCTGGTTTGGTGCACTAGCACTAGCTCAGCTGCTTACTAACACTTAATGGCGCCGGTGGCAGAATCTCTTTTCAGTTTCTTCGCCTTTGTATGAATGTCTTCTTCTTGGGAACGTCGGGTTGTTTCATCTTTCGGAGCTTTTCCTCACTATATCTTGCTATAAATTTACTAGGGTACCCATTATCGCCTAGTGTTGATGCAATACACTGCAGTTCACTCATAATCGACCCTTCGGAATAGATCCGGCGCGCTCGCATGAAGCAGGTGCGAACCAAGGATCGCTAAGTATATCGGGCGGTACCTGATAAAGTTTAGGTACTGTCCTGTCCAGATGGGTTTGTGATAAATCGACCGTATTAGCGATCCATCTGGTCTTCTCTTTAAGGAAACATCCAAAACTGAAACATTTCCCCCAATTCTGTTTCCATAGTGAAACTGATTTCCTTATGACTTTGATTTAATTCACCCAACATGCTCTCTGCCTTCCGTGCAGTATCGACGACTACAAAAGTGTCGTCTGCCTACCGGACATAGAACTGCTTTTTTCTATGGTTCGTCGTAGTTGGTTATTTTCTAAATGGCCCATAAAGATATCGACTAGAACAGGTCCAAGCGGGCTGCCCATCGCTGCGCCTTCGATTTGCCGGTAGAGGTTACCATCAAAGCTAACTTTAACCTCCTTAGTGCGGATGCGGAGTAGAGTCTATAGACGGTGTGCTCGAAAACCCACATTGCTGGATTTGATCATCCCAAGAACACTACCACCCATCAACGTACTCGATTAGTTCTAAGACACCTAGTACGGCGTCATTCTATTATGTTATAAATCCCCTGATAATTAGACACCCAGCAGCACTTATTTGCATGCCTCACAAACCGGTACCCTACATCCTGTTGACTCGACGAGGATGTGGGTCCTTGCTTCACTCTTGTGTGACCAGGTCAGTGCGATCCGGTTTTTTGCTTGAAATGTTGCAAGTCGTTTTCCCCAATCATTCACGGTATGACCTTGTAACTGATTAAGTTGGCTCTGGAGCGGCGTTTTCTAGCCAGAGATCGTTTGCTCTGTCATTCTACCATAGAGCAGTTGGAGAGTTCACTCGCCTACGAACTATAACAGACACGAAAGCACGATAGACCCTGTTTCCATGACTCATCTCATATTGACGATAAAATTGCACCGGAATAAAGACTAATCAAAAAATACCTGCAAATAATGCCAAGGTAAGAAACGTTAGCCACTGGAGTAGACGAGCATTCGTCAGAAACAGAAGTCCAAATACTTGACTACCGCTTCCTTTCCCACTGCATCATATCGCGCTTGTTCCCCAACTACTGGTGTTACCTACCCCGAGGACCCCATCTAAAGACACTTGTGGACGCGATGACCTCTTTCGCTTACTTTCTTTAGACCCATTTAGGTTTTACCAGATGTTCTGCGGTTTTTGGCGTGTGGCATTAATGACATCG